CATACTAGGGTTGAGCCACAACCCTAGTTGATGGGGTCTAGCTACTCATAATTATGGAAGAAAATAAGAAATTAGATGAAGAATAACTCATAATATTTAATTACAAACTAAGATAATGAAGATTCAGCGTAAATGTAGCTACAAATTACTCAAAATAGAATAAAAGAGTCGCTCACGTGCTCAGCCCAAAGTCAGATTACAAAAGATGACCTAAAAAATGTGAAAAGAAAGTATTCATACTAGGTCAAATTTTTTGGACAAAAATACCCCTGACGAGGTAGTGCGGTCTGCACAGAATGCACCGCGGACCGCGCTGAGGCTTTTTGGCTTGATATTGCATTCTCTGAATCTAGCCACCGTGGGCCGCACAAATTGCAGCACGGCCGCGGTGGCTTCAATGCGGTCCGCACAAAATCGCTTGCGGACTGCGTTGGCTTCAATCTCCATTTTTATAACTCTCTGAATCTCATATCTGCGGACCGCATAAAATGCTTTGCAGCCGTGGTGAGCTACTACGGTCCGCACAAAATGGTTTGCGGCCGCAGTGCTTGAGTTTCCAAAAAACTGCACCTCTCTGAATCTCATCACTACGGACTACACAAAATGGATTGCGGCCGCAGTGGATCTGTTTCAACTGTGCTTGGACTTGTCCTTGGTACTTGTGCATGTTTCACTCCTTTTTGAGCTGGTTTTGACTAATTGTCACCATTTTCACCAAACCCTGCAATCAAGTACGACATGTAAGCCTTTGGGACTATTTTGTATACATTTTCAATCAAAACTCAAGTAAAAAGGAGTATAAAATAAACCAGAACTCCTAGTTATCAGAACCGAAGGTGCGGGGCTGCATATGCGGACGACCAAGTGCAGAAGCGGATTTTGGGAGAAAGTCTGGGGTCGCAGGTGCAAGAGGAGTTCCCCATCTGCGATGCCCGCAGGTGCGAGTGAAGGAACGCAGGAGCGGTCTGGGACCGCAGAAGAGGATGAGGATCCGCAGGTGCGCACGCGCAGGTGTAACCTCTTGATTGTAGAAGCGGACTAGGTACATTAAGTGAAAAGCCGCACCTGTGATAGAAATTCCGCAGGTGCGGGACCGCAGATGCGGTCCTGGGACGCAGAAGCGGAAATCGTTGGGCAGAAAAAGAGATTTCGAGAGTTTGAAATTCATATCACAAAAACTTAATTTGGAGCTCGCTGGAAGGTGATTTTCTGAGGGATTTTGAAGGAGAGCTATTGGGTAACTAACCGTAACTCGATTTTGATCATATTACCTTAATCTATTGTTGTATTCTTCATCTAATTTGAGGATTTGAGTGAGGAAGTTGGGGGAAAAGTTCCCCAACAAAAAAACTGAGATTTGAGTGGGATTTAGGCATCAGATTTGGATGATTTTTGCACGAGTTATCTCGTGAGTGAATGGGTGTTCATAATTTGTGACTTTTACCCGATTCCGAGACGTGGGTCCGGGGATGATCTTTGGACGTTTTTCTATTTTCTTGCCTTAGCTTTGATTTCATTAGCTAAATTAGTTGCTTGTAGCTATATTTACTTTATGTAATTGATTTGATTAGATTTGGGCCACTCGGAGTAGGATACTCGTGGCAAGAGCGTGATTTCGGATTGATTTGAGCTTGGTTCGAGGTAAGTGGCTTGCCTAACCTTGTGTGGGGGAACTCCCCTTAGGATTTGGTATTGTTTGATATATGAGCGCCGTGTACGTGAGGTGACGAGTGCGTACACGGGCTATTTGTTGAAAAACCCCGTTTTCATTAAGCAAATATTTGTTTTCCTTTAATTGAACAACACTATATGTAACTATCCTGTTTAGCTTAGGAAAGCATGCATACGTGCTTTAACTGTCTTAACTTCCTTAACTGCCTATCTGAACTCTGTGCAGCATGCTTAGTGAAAATGGAAAAGGGTCAAACATACCCTTTTACTATCGAAAATTGTTTAAAGTTACCCCTGTTATACTAATCAAGCAAAAATACCCCTAACGTCTTACTATTAAACAAATATATCCCCAAATTATAGTAAACAAATATATCCCCAAGTTAACGGAGGGGCCATGTGGCACCCATTTAAGTCATTAGGTCCATCCGGGTTTATTTTTATAGTAATCCGACCCGATACCAAGTATTCACCCTAGAAATTAAACCCTTATTCAACATCCCGAGCGACCCCTCCCCCAAGTTCTAAGTCTTGAATCAAGACAAACATAACCATACCTTCAGATCTTTTAGCTGCACAGGCTTCATAAATCCTACTACCAAAGAACTGTGTAATATCTTCCAATCAACCTCCACAAACAGTTGATCTTGGATTCCTTGGCATTACCCTTTGGAATAATTCAGTGCTACTGTCACTCCCATTATTTTTACTCTAAATTGGTCACAAAGCTAACCTCTTCTTCTTAAGATTTTGCTCGAATTCTAATTGTTGCTCAAGCTTACACCATACATTCCTCGTAAGTCGTAATGTTACTTCAACAATTTTTGTCAGAAATTAAATTCACGTACTGAATTTCTGTTGATTTCTTCTTCTTATTGTTATATGATTTATTTCCGAAATTTTGGATAAATAGTGAGAAAGAAATCCACCTTCTTCATATATTACCACTCTAAAAAGTTGCCAACAATAACTAGATCTAAGTGATAAGAAATATAAACAGGTTGTATCTTTTACTCTTATGGAGATTTAACCTTTCTTTTCTTGGGTTTATCAACGTGGATGTGTAGATAGAGATTGACCTTCATTTCTTGAGTTCTTCAAAGTGCATTTGTAGATAAAAGGCTCCAACGAAGGGGATGAAGTAAGGACCAAAAAGTTAGGGTCAGACTTTAAAGTGGTTGAATAAGGGTTTAATATTTAGGGTGGGTACGGGTATTGGGTCGGGTCAATCTAAAAATAACCCCGCATAGATCAAATGGGTTAAATGACTGCCATGTAGCCTCTTCATTAACTTGAGGGTATATTTATCCAATAGTATGACGGTAAGGATATTTTTGCTCGATTAGTATAACGGAGGATAACTTTAAATAATTTTGGATAGTAAAGGGATATTTTTGACCCTTCTCCGTAGTGAAAATTACCCGTCTTCTTTGATATGAACTTAGTCTGAACTGTAGAATTCCTTATTGAAATTGTTGTTAATGTTGATTGAGTTGCATATTTACTTTGGGACTACGGAACGGTATTCCGAGAGATCCTACTACACGTTTACGTTTGGGACTACGGGACGGTATCTCGGGAGATCCCCCTTGTACTGTATATTTACTTTGGGACTATGGAACAGTATTCCAGGAGATCCCCCTGCACATTAATGTTTGGGACTACGGGACGGTATCCCGAGAGATCCCCCTACACATCTACGTTTGGGACTACGGGAGGGTATCCTGGGAAATCCCCTGTTGTTATCTCTAGGTACTGAGCTTTGTTTTTCAGTGAATTCATTCTCGTTAAATGTTTGTATTTATATTTACTGCGATATTTCATACTGTATTATTTTATTATATATATATACCAGCAGGGCCCTGACCTGATCTTGTCACTACTCGACCGAGGTTAGGCTTGACACTTACTAGGTACCGCTATGGTGTACTCATGCCCTTTCCTGCACATGTTTTCGTGTGCAGATCCAGGTACCTCTTTTCTGCCACATTACCAATGAGGCGAGACAACTGTAGAGACTTCGAGGTATATCTGCCGCGTCCGCAGACCTAGGAGTCCCTGTCTACTCTTCCTCAAGTTAAAGACTTCTTGTATTAGACTCTGAAGTATGGGAGTACTGTATTCTTCTTTAGCTTGTGACTTATGATATTTCGGATTTTGGGAGAGTTATAAATACTGTTCGGAAGTGATTATTGTATATGCCGAGCGACATCGCATTTTCTTGTTTAGAATTTACTTTTAGTTGATAATTTTTATGTTTTGTTCCTTTATCCGCAAATGTTAGACTTACCTAGTCGTAGAGACTAGATGCCGTCACGACAGGTTCACGGAGGGAGAACTAGGGTCGTGAGAATGAGTTATGAACATTATTTCATAAGCAAATTAGGCATTTGGAAAAGAATTAAATCTTTTTATTTGATTAAGTATGTCAATTAAACTGTTATATTCTAATTGTACTATTTTTCTTAATACTTTTAATTCGAAAAATAAATCTAGATCATTAATATCGAATTGATTATTATGCTTTAAGGAACATTCAAGATTGAGGCAATATTTTTTAAATTTCCAACATCTAGTGATCTTAGTTTTTACTGCCAAATAGAAAACCAAAAATATTTTCATATGCTTTGAATTGTTCAAATCTATTTTGAAGTGTAAAAATAGCTTCGTCTATTATGTATAAAAGTAATCAACTCTAAAAGACTCTTCGAAAGATTTTGAGATTTTTATTATCAACATTCACATCAAATTGTTACTTCCGGATTCGATATTCATTTCAAGTACAATTTCATTGGTAAAAGACATAACAGTTGCAAATCCTTCTTCTCTTTATTTGTTAAAGAAAGAAATCAAACCTTTTCACTTTACAAAACTTTTTTTAAACTTATACATATTCTATTAGGTGTAACAAAAAATGGAACCCCTACAAATGTAGAGTCTAAAGCAATTGCTTTACTTGCTTTATGAAAGGGCCGCCCCTGAATAAAAAGCGTTTTATCTTTTTATTAGGCCTATAAGATGCAAAGCCAAATTAATCAGATCATTAAGGTCGGACTGGTACTAAAAAAAGATGAAAAAAATAAAAGCCGACATAGAGTCCACGTAGACTCGGCGGGACCCACTCAGAATCCACGGAAAACTGGCAACAACAGAAGTTCGTTACTGACTACTTCGGCAATCCAAAACTCTAATAAGCATTTCCACAGCTCATCCTTAGCCAATCATTTCAACCTTTTCAATCATATTAATTGTAACTAATATAACTTGCTTGCAACGGAGTATTACTAAAAAGCAGTTAATCATACTCTATTTATAATTATCATAATTTTTCATTCTAGAATAATCCTCAAAGAAATAGAAAGACAAAAACTGAGTTGTCAAATACAACGCACAAAAAGATTTGTTTCTTGTTTTTTCAAAGTTCTTGCCTTTAAGGCACTTCAACTTCCTTTTTCAATCCCCCATTGTTTTTTCCTTCATTTTTCTACCAAGAATTTCCAACCCCATAATAAATTCTTCAGATTTTTCTGAGGCATTACATTTTCTGTGGTAAATAAACGATTCTAATTTTTAAGATATGTCAGATCCAAATGATCAAAAGGCAACAGTTGGTGCACCAATACCAACTGCACCTCCGGCCGCCGGAGATACGGAGAGCCAGACGCCGGCAGCCGGAACCGGTGTGGGACACATCATCAGGAAATGGAAAAGAGAAGATTTGCTGAAGAGGGGTTCTTTGGGTTTGCGTTGTATTGCTTTACTTTTCTCATTACTTGCGTTCATTATCATGGCTAGCAATAAACATGGTGATTGGAAAGATTTTGATAGATATGAAGAATATAGGTAAAAATTACATTTTATACCATGATCATAGATTTTTTTTGATATATATATATATATATATATATATATATATATATATATATATATATATATATATATTTATGATCTAGAAGTTTAATTAGATTTTGATGTTTAATTTTGTGAATCTTTATTAACTTAATTATGTCTTCACCATGTTCCATTATGTGCGGTTCCTTTTTCATCCTCTGCTACCATGTTGAACTGTATGATCATCTCATCTAAAAGCTTAAGACGTTAGACAAATCACAATTTTATTTACTCAATTATGTCCTCAACATTTTGAATGCGGATAAATGCAGGTATGTGCTAGCCATAGCAATTCTGTCCACATTGTATACAGGGTTGCAAGTTATGAGACAAGTGCATGAACTTTCAACTAGCAAGGAAGCCTTTTCGCGGCAGAATTTAGCTTTGCTAGAATTTTTTGGTGATCAGGTTTGTGATTTTTCGATGGTTATGCATAACTGAATTCATTTAACTCTTTGAATTGTATATTGATTTGGAATTGTGATTGAATTGCAGTTGATGGCATACTTATTACTATCATCCGCATCATCTGCTGTGCCACTGACAAATAAGATGAGAGAAAACAATGACAACATATTCACAGATTCTTCAGCTTCAGCAATTAGCATGGAGTTCATTGCATTTCTAGCTCTGGCAGTTTCAGCTATGATTGCTGGATATAAACTTTCAAATCAAACCTACATCTGATAAGATAATCGAACATACTTTCTTATTGAATTTTTTTGTGTCTCTAGAATTCCTTCATTTATTATCAAAACCACCACATTCGACCCTTGTATATGCGCGTCAAAGTAAGAAAGACATTCTCTGTTTGTCTTGAAACCTGTATGTAAGAAATCACAGTACAAATTCATTTGTTTGTAAAGACTTTCGTTCATTAAACCAGTGATCTTCTTGCATCTTGCTGTGTGGTTTTTTTGGTATATCAATTTGGTTGAAGTCTTTTTCAAGAACTTCCAGAAATATCATATCAGATGGAGTCAAATTTGTTGTAGCAAATGTTAGATTTCAATGAAATGACACTGAAGGACAAAGCTTAACTGATGTATTTAGCTACTGGCAGAGAAAGTAATGTTTTAAATGTACTTGTCTTCAAAGTCTAGAAAAGAATCTTGGTATGGTTGGTGGAAATATCTACTTGATTTATGGTTAAACAGAAATGAGAAATCTTGAGGTGCAAGGCTGAATGTTAACTTCAAAACAATGAATATTCAATTTTCCACAAAAAATAAACAAATAAAATTCAACTTTCTACAATGATGCCTCAGTCCTAACTTACTTTGACAGATTTATGTTGTACAAATATCTTAATGGGGAATTACAGCTGCCAACCAATCTATAGCTAAGAAAATAAATTAAAAAATGGACTAACTTTTATTTGGAATCCTAAATCCTAACTAGGTATTATAGGCAAAAACTATCATAAATTACATCGAATACAATGAATTGAGATGGAAATCTGTATCTGTTGCAATTTTCTATGGAGAAATATCAGTTAAGGAAAGAGCTGAAGAATAAATCATCTTTAGGTTCTTCTTTGCTTATCGGCTTGGTATTATTCATGGGCTGCATTTGGTCCATGTAAGACCCCGAGGAGGTATCAAATCCTGAATAACTTGAACTTCCAGAGCTCTGTAACATCTGCAGGGTGATAGGTGGTTGGTTCTGTGTTGTTTGTACCCTTGTGTTGAAAAATGTGTCGTTAAAATTCATTCCCTGGTTAGAGTTGTTAGCCAACATCGAAGGCCTTGGAACGACAGGCATGCTGTTGTTGCTGTTGCCTGATGGAGGTTTATTCATAGCGTAGCTTCCACTACCACGTGCTGCAGGAACATCATGGTTGTGTTTTCCTTCATAAGTTGTGATCACCGCCCTTAGATCATGAGAAGCGCGTTCCACATGCTTCCTAACTGGACAGCCAGTAAATGTGCATTTGTAGTAGCTCCTATAGAGATGTAAGCAAATGACCAACATTAAGACTGACTTTTTCATCACAAGTAATCAAAATTAGAAGCCATGAAATGAGAAGCTTTCTATGAATAAGGAAGGACAATGTGCGATAGCTCGCTATTTATTCAAACTGCTGATTCAATTCTCTGCTTGGTGTAGGGATTGCTCACCTTGGATTTGGATTGCCTTTGACAACTTTTTGTCCATATTTTCTCCATCTATAACCGTCGTCAAGAATATCAATGTCGCTTGTGGTTTGAACTACAATTCTTGGTTCTCTTACTGTTCTACTTGCAGACGATATGACCTCGTTTTCATTGTCACACTTCCTGAAAGGACAATCAACATAACAGAACATTCAGTTATCATATCAAGGACCAACAAAAGGTGAAAACATTTGAAAGATTTTGTTTTAAGCTTACCATCTCTTTGCCTCGGGTTCATTTCCATCATCTTCTCCTGACTTGCTGATAGGAGACCCTTGATCAACATCCTCGTCACCAAAAGAAGCCGAAGAATTGTCTGTCCCAGCAAAGGAATCCCTTTGAGCATTATCAAGAAACGCGTTTGGCTGATTTGTTATATCCAAGTTGGAGTAAGCAAGGTTTTGAATCGATTGTGAAGACGATCTTCTAGTGGACTGAGGCTTTGGATGATTATGGTTCCCCTTATAGACTATCTCAGTAATGTGTCCATCCAAATTCCTTTCAACCTTCTTCTTTGTAGGACAGTTAGGAAATGTGCACTTGTAATAGCTTCGCGGATTCTCGCTTCCTTTCACTTGCTTCTGCCCATATTTCCTCCAGTTGTATCCATCTTCTGCTTTCTGTTCCCTAACATATTGAGATGGTTGAGTGTAATGTACTGGAGCTGGATAACTCTGCATCTTTTCTTGGGAGAAGCTTTGAATTTGAGCCACTTCTGATTTCACCCCTGTAGTTTTTGCAGTGGAGAATTCATTTTGCTGGTTGGCATGTTGTTGTCTTGTCATTAAGTCTTCCTGTTTCATCCAATTAATTTATCACAAAAACAAAAACAAGTTTAGAGATTTCCAATGGAAAGGAAACTTAGAAAGAAAAGAAAACAATTTATGGTTGGTGATGTAAGACTTTAGTCATCTATATTTTATTGCAAATTGCAATCTTGCTTTCATGTCATGACCAGCAAAATGCACAAAATGTAGAAAAAGGCATCCCGGTGCACTAAGTCTAAGTTCCCGCTATGCGCGGGGTCCAGACAAGGGCTGGATCACAAGGATCTCTTTCCAGCAAAGAGATAGACATAATATGGATTCTATGTAATTGGATCATTGGAGGGAATATTGTTAGATGGTTCAACAATTAACTGCTATTTAACCTGATTAGCTGACATCGTTTAAAGTTTCATGCTACACATATTTTACAGAAGACAATAACAATAATTAAGCTCAATCCCTAGCAACTTGGGGTCGGCTATATGAATTTTCACTAATCATATCGTTCCATTTAAGCTCATCTCATACCAATATTATGCATAAATAATGTAAACTCGAAAATTTCGGACAACTAAATATGGTAGGAGAAGCCAAACAAAAAAGGAAAATAAATATACCAATGAGTTTCTTGGAGCAGAAGACTGAAACATTGATGATGAAGTAGCAGCCCTACTTTGGAAAGAGAAATCAGAAATCTTTGAATTATCCTCCTTTGAATTCAAATTACCAAAACTCCCTGTAGTTGGAGATGGAAGAGTCTGCAGAAAACAATAATAAGGAAATTCTTGGTCAGACCAGTTACAAGATATTGTGAAAAAAGTATAAACTTCAACAAAATGTAAATCATTTCATGAAATTAGCAAAAGAACTTACATTGGAATTGTTAAACAAAACTGGTGAGTCCAAAAGCACAGATGGACTTAAAGAAGGAGGAAAAGCAAGATAAGAAGAAGGAGAAGCTGGTGATGAAGATGAAATCATTGGCAAAGAACAAGGTGGAAATGACTTAAACTTTGGAACTTCATCTTTGTTTTGTTGATTCATTCTTTGATCACTGAAACCCCAATTCAATGAATTCTTTTCTTGGTTCATAGAACTGTTATTACTCCTCATATTATTATTATTATTATTATTATTATTATTATCAGAAAGAAGGTCACTAAAAGATGAAAAAGAATAGTTGCTAGTAAAAGAATTCATAAAAGTATTCATATTTCCACCTGAAGAAGCCATATAATTTTTTCAAGAAAATAAAAAGAGGACAAGAAAGAATTCAAACTTTTTGAGAGGTTATTGGGTTCTTGTTTGAAAAAAAATTAAGAGGAGAAAAATGATGAGTGCTTAGATTTTATAAACAAAAATAGGTTGTGTCTGTTTGCTTATAAATTCTTGGCCTTAAGTTCTTTCAGGCTTCTTCTAGGAAGCTAAAAGGTACTTTTGACCGTGGAATTTTTGGAAAATTTTTTCCTAATTTTTTTTATAGTCAAAGCTTGTGGCTTTGACCAATTCTCGGCGGCTGAATCAGAAGGGAACTGGGTATTAATCCTCTACGGTTGATAACACCGTACAGCAACCAGCAGCAACATGACACTGATCAAATTAAGCAATTTAAATGAACTGGATATTTATATCAAATTAAGCAATTTAACTGAACTGGGTATTTATATCAAATTAAGCAATTTAACTTTGAAATTATAAATTTAAGTAAACATATCTATCATTTAATTATGATTAAGTGACAATAAATATGTGAGAGATAGATATATGACATTTATGATTTGATGTAAATACCGATGCAGATAAGTTTTTAGCACATATCATGCATACCTAATATAGTAATATCTCTATCCTTTAGCTAGCTGACAATTTTTGTTTAGTCTACTTTTGTCAAATTTTCTTGTTGGTATTATTGTAACATTAGTGGAGCTCTAGTCCATGGTATACAATTCTTTTTTTGTGTGTGTGGATCTTGAGACCATTTTCTTTGTAAATTATTTGTAAAGTCTTTATAGGGCATGTGAATTACTGTTAAATAGTACTACTCCCTCCGTTTTATATTAGATGAGGTACTTTACTTTTTAATCTGTTTCAAAACAAATGAGACATTTCTAAATTTGGAAATAATTCAACTTTAAACTCTTCATTTTACCCATTTACCCTTAATGAGAAGCTTTTATAGCCACACAAATGTCATGGCCCCACAAACCTTTTACCCCTTAAGCTTTTAAGACCACAAGTTTCAAAAGTCTTCTTCTTTTTTCTTAAACTTCGTGCCGAATCAAACTATCTCATCTAATATGAAACGGAGGGAGTATCAAATTGTTCCTTATCTTACCTTTGTCAGGGAACAACTCTGCTAACTTGTTTTGTGAAATATTATCATTTTTTCGCATCCATTTGCCATAGGTACGCTACGCTCTCAACTTGATCAATCGCTTTGTTCTGATTATTGAACAGGTGCCCTGTGGAACATGTTTTATGGAATTTCACTCTGGATTAAAAACTTATACTGTAAGTTTTCTTCAATAGTATTGATGACCAAATATTGCAACTTCTAGCTAATATCTGAATTTCTAAAAGTTCAATTTACTATAAGGTGGGATTGAGAAAAAAGTTGTTCTTGTGAAAAATAAAGAAGTACAACAAGCTCAATTTATATTACAATATCCTTTTCGTCCATTTTTGGTTTGACTATATGAACAAGTTGATATATATCTTGGTTAATTATTTTATGAGTCGTGAGCATGTGTTGTTTTATAAAATGATTAAAGGTGACGTGCATACTCGTTACTCGTTAATTAGGACATTAAACCAGTCATTTTAGAGTTTGTTTAGGAATTGTGAAATCTTAGTGAAGGATTTTTACAAAGCAATCAGCTATATAGCAACGGATCCAAACTTTTGAATTTATGGTTTAGAATTCTAGAAAAAAATATTTTACTGTGTTATGGATAGATTATTTTAACATATAAGTGA